GGATAGAGATGAGGCATTTGGTTGCTCTGGAACTCATATACAGTTACCATCAATTCCCTGTTCAACACTGAGCAGGAAATTCATGCAACTGTCAAGGTATAATTTATAAATTTTCTTTTAGCTCCTAACTGCTATTTATGTTAGTCTTAGGTTCAGAAAGAGGAAAATCCTCTGGAATAACCTTTCTTCAAATGATAAAATTGGAGGCTTTCTTGTCTCTCATAATCGTATCAGAGCCTTCCATTTTTGTTTTAATAATTGCAAATTTTTTTACTTAGGTTTCTCTGGTCCAAGGTTTACTTGGACCAATTTTAGAGAACATAACATTTTGATACAAGAAAGGATCAATCATGCTCTTGCAAACGCACCCTGGAAAAACCTCTATCCGAATGCCTTCGTTAACACCTCCCCTGCACCCGCTCTGATCATTGCCCTTGCTCCTTAACCTTACCAACACCGGACCTCGATTCACAAACAAGCTTTTTCGATTCCAATCCATGTGGCTTGATCATCCTGATTTCAACTCTATTCTTCATAAATTTTGGTCCCCAAATTGCATTTCTCTACACCAAACCATCATTTCCTTTACGGATAAGTTGAAGGTCTAGAATAAACTTGTTTTTGGTTATGTGCATACACGAAAAAGAAGGTTCCTGGCAAGACTCGAGGACATACAGAAAGCTCTTGCCCTCAATCCAAACCCTTACCTCATTAATCTGGAAAATTTCTTATCCCTTGATTATAAGCAAGTTCTTAAGCATGAGGAAGAGCTATGGGCCCTAAAGTTACGAGTGAACTAGATTCTTCAAGGTAATCGAAATACTAAATTTTTCCACACAACCACCCTTGTCCATAGAAGCTACAACAAAATCTTTAGACTGCAGGACAAAGTTAGTAACTAGGTCACCTCTTTTAATCTTTAAGATTTTATCGTGATTGCCCCCATGTCCTACTGCACACAGACCCCCCTCATTCCTTTTGGCCCAAATTTTGGGAATCCAACATTGCTACCCTAACCCAGCCTGTTACTCCCTTGGAAATCTAAAAAGCACTATGGACCTTCAAACCTTACAAAACCCTTGATCGTGACGGCCTTCACCCACTGTTCTACCAACACTACTGGACTTCAACTAAGCACAAAATCTGTCAAACTATCCAGAGCATTTTCCTTGATCTAAAAATGCCTGATGCTCGTAATGCCACACTCATAACCCATATTCCAAAGTGCAAGTCTCTAACTCTCCTAACATAGTTCAGACCCATTGGCCTTTGCAACACCATCTACAAACTTGTCACCATGATTATTATTCTTCGCTTTAGACTATTCTTGGATAGACTCATCTCCCCTATGTAAGCTAGCTTTATTTCGGATAAGCAGTCTTATCATGAGCTGTATTTCCTTCTCGTCCATGAAAATTCTCGTCAAGGGAGGAAAACTTGATAGCTTCCATCCCGCTAGGGATATAAGGCAGCGAGACCCCCTTTCCCCTTATCCCTTCATACTATGCATGGAGCTGACTCCTGTACCGAATTTGATCTAAGTATCAACCTTCAAAAGTTCAAAGTTTTCTTTTCTCCCAACACCTTTGAGGCGCAAAAATCTCGAATCTTCTCCTCACTTAGTATAAACTCAACCAATGATCTTGGGAGATATCTCGGTTTCCCCATTCACCACCATCGAGTGAGAAAGCAAGATTACAACTTCATCATTGATAAAGGTCATGCCAAACTAGCAGGCTGGAAGGCAAACCTTCTTTCTCTTGCGGGTCGTCTCAGCCTCATCTAGTCTACCACTGCAACCATCGCTGCTTACTACATCTAATGCAGATCTCTCCCCTTCAAGTGCCTACACTGAACTTAATAGGCTTAATATAAACTTTCTGTGGGGGGACACTGAGAAAGGAAGAAAACCTCACTGCATAAATTGGCACATTGTCACCAAATCAAAAAAGGATGGGAGCCTAGGTATTAAATGTTCTAAGGCCCAAAACTTGGCCCTCTTCACTAAACTTAGCTTAAGACTATTACATCACCCTGATGAGCTTTGGGCCAAGACTTTATGTGCCCAATATCTCAACCCCAACGGCACTCTCAAAAGAAACTCCACCACCTCCACTTGGAAATCAATGAAAGTTTCCCAAGAGGTGCTTGAAAAGGGTAAAGATGGATCATCAAGGATGGAGCTCATATCAGCTTTTGGCATGATAACTGGACTGGTTTGGGCCAGCTGCACTCCCACTTCATTGGCCCTCTCAACTCAAATGAAGTTAACTTCAGTGTCAAGGACTTTCAACTTTTATTCCAACCAATGGGAGTTTCCACTATATCCTTTTATCTCCTCTCAAACCTTTTCGACACCATTCTTGCTACCCCATTACCTCGACACCACGTTGGGCAAGATACTATCTACTGGAATCACACAAGGAATGGTCTCTTCACTACCACTTTCGCCTACGATCTTGCCCGAGGCTTATCATTTCTGAGCATCAACCAAGACTTTAGCTGGGTTTGGAAACATAACATCTCCCCGAAGCTTAGCTTTTTTCTCTGGGAATGTATGCACCAAATTCTGCCTACTAAGACGTTTCTTGCTCGATATGGATTCACCTTGGAGGACTCCTGCCCTTTTTGCTAGGTCGAAGAAGAGAGCCTGTACTATATACTCAGGTTTTGCCCGAATATTTAACCCATATGGCAGTATCTATAGATCCCTAGCCCCTCCTGATCACTTCTGACGTCCCTTTCACTATTTGGCTCGAACTCCAGATGAGTTCTAAACTGTCTTATCATGGATCTAGCATCCCATGGAAACTTATTTTCATTCACCTCCTCTAGGAAATTTGGTTAGCAAGGAATGCCGCTGTATTCAGGGACATTAACCTAAGCTCATCCATTGTTCAACGAGCCTTGAGTAAAGCCGCAGAGTTTTACGCCATCTTTGATCACCAACTCACTGTTCTCTCCCCCTCTTTCATTCCAGTCAGGTGGAGCGCCCCTAATATTGGCTGGTATAAACTTAACACTAATGGCTCAGCCATTGGTAACTCAAGCCGAGTTGGTGCAGGAGCCATTATCAGAGATCACATGGGCAACTGGGTAGCTAGCTTCCACAGATTCATTGGAAAAGCTACTAGTGTGAAAGCTGAGCTCTGGGCACTTAGAGATGGTCTGACTCTTGCCATCACCAAGCGAAGTGAATGCCTAGAAATTGAGCTCGATGCTATTGCAGTTATTAGCCTCATTACTGCTCCATGCACTCATTCTACTAACCTTGTGCTTGAACCTCTCATTCATGATTGTAGGATTATGCTGAACCAGTTGCAACAGAAAAAGATTTCGTATATCTTCCGTGAAGCCAATCAATGTGCTGATGCCCTAGCAAGGACAAGTGGTGGCTATGACCCTAACAAAAGGGACTTTTGTAATATTAGCTCTAATGCTGATATGAGCAATCCGTACTTTGTAATGCGTTTTGAACCTCCCAACTTTTTACAGTCGTGAATGATGGTTGACTTTGCCCGAACTATTTTGTACCATACGTTATTTTAATGATTAGTTTATCCTTTTATGGACAAAAGAAAAAAGAAAAGGAAAAGCTTTGATTTAAATTTAAAAAAATTTTAATGTAATATCTAAATTATAAATATATTAATTAATATGATATTTTAAAAATTATTCATTTGCTTTTTGTCATTATTTAAAATTAATCATACTAAAGATGAATATCATATAAATTAATAAAATCATAATACATATATCACATTAAAATTTTTAAAATTTAAATATCAATATTTTACTATAATTAAGGAGTTATTCATAACATTAATTTTTTTATTTTAATTTTAAAAGAAGAATAAAAAAAGGCAGGACACAAAAAAAAATCGATGTCACCTTATTCATTCAAAAATGTTATGTCATCTTAATCAATGTCGTGACTCAAATATTATGTTATGTCATCTTCGCCAATGGCATGTCAATTAGTTATTTATTATTTCATGCTATTTAATAGCTTGAATACTACACCTATTTAATCTCATAAAAAAGTATCAATTTGTTACGATTTCGAAGATAATGTGCCCTTAAAAGTTATAAAACCCTTTTAAATATCGATAAATTAAACATTTAGCCTATTGAAATTTATATTAATTGTAAACCCTATGACTAAATTAATATAATGTGAAGCGAAATCAACCAAGAATTAATAAAAAAAAATAAGTAAAATAAAATATAAAATTAATAAAATAGTTTAATTTTTCACTTTTTTAAAATTATATTTAAATTCACCTCTTTTCATACTTATATTTTTATTCACTTTTTGAAATGTTAATCTTACCCATACTCATATTTATATTCATATCCATAATTTATAAGAAATTTAATTTTTTATCCGAATAAAAATGAAGATAAATATTAAAATTTAGAGAAGAGATCAGAGATATGAATAATTATAAAATTTTTATTAAGTATGAGAACGAGTAACATAACACCCTTTCTAAACACGTAGTTGTACCTTATATATATTTTTTGTATATTTAATAATATGAAATTTTATTTAGAGTAATTAGATCTAATATATTTCTATTTAAAATATATATTTCTAAAAGTTACATAAATATGCAAATACAAATAAGAAAAGCTAAAAAAATTTGTTTTTTAATTAAAAAAGTTATAAATACACATAATATTTATATTTTCATTAAAATTAAGATAAAGATGAATTTGAAATATCCGTTGGATATAAATATAAAAATAAATATAATATAAAAATAAATTATCAGGATGATAAATACTTTATCCATTTCATATTTTATCCATTGATATCCGTACTTTTTTTTAATAACAAAACATAAATTACATTCTTCTTTTTTTTTTTTATCTATTTTACTTTTTCTAATAATTGTATTTTTTTCTTATTTTAACATTTATCTTTATTATTACTTGGCAGTGTGCCACAAACTAATATATAACCAACATAAAAACCTTAATGGGCCAGAATCGACATGCTATCCATTGGGCTTGTATTGTATAAAGTAACTGAGTTAATGTGGAGGGCAACTTCACGTGCTGGGATGATGGGTTTTCTGTCTATCAGGTTTCTTCCCACGTGGCTGAAACACAAAGAACAAAAATCCTCATTCTGGTTCCAGTTGAAACCGATAAAAAATCCTCCACTACTCAACAGGAAAAACACAACCACGGTTTCAGAAACTAACATAAAAAATCATGAATTCAATTCACAATATTGGAGTTTGCAGTTTCACTTGAATAAATCTTCAGTCTCAAAAGAAATGGAGTGTTGTTCTTCTACATCGTTATTAAGCTTAAGCTTAATGTTAAAACCTCCTCCTCCATTAATGACCATTAACTATAATTGCAACTCTCACTGGAGGAAGAAGAAGACAGGGCATTGCTTGCTTCAAGTCTCTGCAATCTCTTACCAAAACTTCATTCACTTTGCTCTCAATGAAACCAAACGCCATACCCTTTTGCTTCCCTCTCCCCTCCAGGTAACAGGGTCTCTTTTTCTTTCTTTTTTTTGTTGAACTTTTTAATGAGAATTTATGGGTTCTTTTTGGTTATTCTGATTTGATTTTTCTTGGGTTTACTATTGTTTTTAATATATATTTTTCTCCTGTGTCCTGGTTCTTTGCCATTTCAGTCTTGAGCTTTTTGTTTAAATCTCTGAGATTTGTAGATAAGAATTACTGATACCATGTGGATGAATCCTTGTGTTGCTTTTATCTAGTTTCCATGTTGAAGTCAATTTCACTATAAAAATTTGAAGAACACTTTTTGTGTCTATTTGATAGTTAATTATGGAACATGATGAGCTAGACTGAAATGGAGCATAATTTTTGCAATATCTTCACAAATTATTACTACTCTTAATTCATTCATATAAAGGATTGATCTTTTGCTTATCCATGGGGAAAAAATGTTATCTTGGTTATTGTAGTTTAGACTGGCCATTTATTGTCCTAAAAATTGGACCAAGATAATGTCTTTAGGAATGTGCTTTGGGTTTTTTCTATTCAGTATTTGAGTTCATTTTGCTTGAAAAGAAAAATAGCAGAAATATTTTAGGATCCAAAAGCATCTCATCAAGAGCATCAAGACTGCAGCAATCTACCATGCCTCTTTATTGATGAAAATGAGTGCGTTATCTGTTTATGAGGAACACATGAAGGGCACACTTCTTTAGGGCCTTTCTATTGAAGCATGGTGCAGTTGTTGACTGTAATCATTGGATTAGCCCAAAATCCCGCAATTGAGCTTGCCAAGTTCAACTTTTTGGGGTTTCTCATGGGTAACAAAGGATTTTTAGGAGTCGGTGCCAAACCAGACACAGAAGGATTTTGGGCTAATCCAACATTTCTTGCTGCCACTACCATTATTGTTTTTGTTGTTTTGGTTAATATTGTGATGAACATCACAACCATTGACATACCAATATATAAAAATTTGCAGTGTGATATGAATTCATGACTTAATGTTGATTTTCCTGCTTTAATTTCACTTTTAGGAAAGATATAGTTCTATGATTGCATTGGATGGAAAAACGAGACTTGAAATGCTATCATTTGACACTCCTAGAATCAGACTACTTCGAAGTATGAGCATTGAGGGTGAAGCTATGCAGGTATTATCTTCTAATTTGTTACCTTTAATGTTTTGAGTTGTTAAATCAGCAAAATAATTATGCTAGTCATGGGTTTTATAACTTGACATACAAACTTAATAGTTTTCTTCTTAAACTATTTGTACTTGTTACAACTTGTTATTATATGTACTTTCTTAGATTTATTCTTGACATTTTTCTCATGATAATTGTAGTAAGTTCTTCATATAGCTCATTAGAAGAAGACAAGCAGTGATTTGGCTCTAGTCTAATGCATCTTATTCTCTTGAGTCTTGATAAAAGCCTTATTCTTTAGTTTTCTAAATGACTTGATCTTGCCGTGCTGTATTTTATTGCATTCTTAATGCGTGGAGTCTTTAGAAATGTAACAGTTCATTTTTTTAACAAAGAGCAATTAAAAGAAAGATTTAAACTCTGAAGGCATAATGCAGTAAATTACCTCAGACAGCATTTTAGTTTATTAAATTTGTCCCAAAAACTGGTTGAGGTTCTGTGCGGAAAGGAAGAATAAGAAACCTGTTGTAGAACAAGTTGATGCTGGGTTTAAAAAAAGAAATGCTCTCTCTATGTCTTGGCTGTTGAGATCTTTTGTTTTGACCTAGGTAGTTAGTTCTATTGATTATTTCATTAGTAAAACCCATGTTTTTTTTTAGATTATTTTGGTATATAACATGGTTTATGCTTTTCCTAATACGAACTCCTTTCCGTCTTTCTCTTGGTAGGTATTAGATTTTGCTGCCTTTCCAAAACCAGAATTTGATCTACCCATATTCTGTGGCAACTTCTTCACGGCTGCTAATACAAACATAGTTGTGTTGTAAGTTTTGTTATTTTCTTTCGTTATTTGTGGAACATGATAGGGGAGACTACTTTTCTTTAAGTGCTCTGTACTCAAGTAATTCTTTTATAGCAGATATAGCCATCCTAGCATAGTGTAATGAGTTTTTCTTTTTTTTGGTTTTGTTGCCCATGGTAGATTAAAAAAATCTGGTTTTGGCTTCCATTTCTGTACTTGTTCTTGGTCAGCAGGTTCTTCTCATCACTAAACATTCTAATGATACATATGGCGCATCAAAGAGTGCAAGTAGAAACATTTTATACGCATTGCAAGATGTTGCAATCGCAACTGAAACCACCAAGCGTATATGTCTGCCTTTAATTACTTGTTTGGTGTTTCTTATACTTTTAGTAGGCATCTGCCTCCTATTTGAAAGGAGAGAGAAAGGGAGGGTGAGAGAAAGAGCTAGATCAACACCTTTATGGTACGACATTTATATTGCCCACTAAAGTTCTGTTTGTTTTATAGAAAATGACTTCAGGAAAATGATTTTTGGAAAATATTTATATTTTTTGAATTGAAAGAGAATTTCTGTTGTTTGGATGAGTTAATGAAAAATATTTTCTGTTGTTTAATTGGTTTCAGGAAAATCTGTTTTTTTTTTTCAAATAATATTAATATAACTATTAAAATATTAAAATTATTTATTATTAAAATATATTAAAATTATTTATTATTAAAATTATTAATATTAAAAAATAATTATATTTTAATAATAATAATATTTAATATTAAAATATTATATTAATATAAAATACTTAAAATAAAACTATTTGTTATTCTTTATATTAATTATTAATAAATTATAATATTATTTATTAATATATTATATTAATAGTATATTATTTATTAATATTTTTATTTGTATATTATATTAATAGTATATTGTTTATTCATATAATATTATTTATTAATATACTGTAATTTAATATTATTTATTAATATAATATTATTTATTTATTAATATAATATTATTTATAAATAAAATTATGCTAAAAAATATTAATAAATAGTTATACTCATAGATAGCTCTTTTCCGGAAAATGTTTTCCCCTTTTCAAATCCGTAAGATAATTTTTAAAAAAATGACCTCATTTTCCATTGACCAACCAGTTTTTGCCAAACAAACAACTGAAAATGCGAAAATCATTTTCCGAAAATCATTTTTCGTGAAACAAACGGAGCCTAAGTGTAGCTTTTACTGTTTGTTTGTGTATATGTATTATTTATATTTCCCAGACTCTATCCTAAGTTTGTGCATCCAACAATTCTGTTCATTGGCTTACATCAAATGTTTGACAAATAATTCATGAAGGCCTAAAGAAATTTTCTTTCTGGGATTGTAATGAGCACTCTCAATTTTGGAACTTACCCTTGATTAATCATTATAGGGACCTAAATCCTTTGCATGATGTCACTAGTCGAAGAGACTACAAGGAAAAGTATTATGACAGCTTAGTTCCTCTAGGTCTCAAGTATACTGAGGTAAATGAGATGATTGGAACTGGCACATTATGGTAAACCCCAATATAGATAATTGTTTATATCAGTTTATCGTCTCTAAAATTTATGCCATGGTGACTGAACACGGATTTCATGCAGCTTTTACCTTGGGGAGGAAAGCTTACAAGTGAATCTATAAAGTTTTTCTCACCGATGGTGATATGGACAAAGTTTACTTCAAGCAAATCTAAACATGAAATTCTATATTCTGCATTTGTGGAATACTACAAGGTAGATGTATTCTTCTGAAACATGTGGTCATTGCCTGATTACATAAATTAGGAACAATAATTAGCATTATTCATATCTTGTCTCTTGGAAACTGTCTTATTTTTTGTACTTCCTGATGCTCTATTAGGCATGGATAGAGCTAATGGAGCAAGCGGTGGAGGATACTGATCCATCTCAAATTGTGTGCAATCTTGAAGCACAGCATAGATACCTAACATGGAGAGCAGAAAAGGTGATTATTCCATGTTTTCCCTTTCTCCTACAGTCTTTCTTGTTTTTATGAGCCTATCATGTCTGTTAACTTCAGGTAGGGCCTTTGGAGTTGATTTTTCGTTGCAAAAAATAGAAAATATACATGAACTAAGATAAAATATTATCTTTGCAATTGGATTTTTACGCCTTTGAATAGGGAGAGAGCGGATAAAACTATCTACCTATCCTTGTTTGTCATTCCAAGATAATATATAAATACATAACTAAAATGCTTGCCACTCTTGCTTCTTTAGTCAACTCAGCACCATTGGTTTTAATTGCAGATATTTCCAACTTTTTAAATTATAAAAAAGTCAAAATTTAACTTTTTGGATCTTCTCTCTGTCATATCCATATTGAGGATGGAAATATGTCATTGACTCATTGTTAATCAACTAAAGCTTTTGCAATACTCTTTTCTCTAGCGTGGTACTAAAGGTTGTTTGACTAAACAATCTTATGTTCAAATCATAGGGCTTTTCACTCTATTTATTCCAAATTTCAGAGTAGAATGAAACTTAGCCTATGGCTACAGTTGAATTGGGTGTATGCGTAAAGTCCAAAATGGGTGGGGCTGTAAGCGAATAGAACGATCGATGAAAAGTTCATGAAAAGGCTAAGTTTTTTCATTTATTAAGCTTAACAAATAATCACAAATAACATTTAAGTTAATTAAACGAATAGATCATGAACATACATTCATGTTCATTTTGTTTATACCCTGGGTGTAAACAAATAGTGTTTGACGAACAGTTTGTGAACAGACTTGATTTCTGTTTGTTTATTAACTTAGCAAACAATCACGAACAATATTTTGGGGTTCATTAAATTAAACGAATAGATTAAAAAACATAGCATATTCGTTCATGTTTTGTTTACACCCCTAAAAATGGGCTTGGAATTGATCCTACAAATATCATACTTTGGACATCTGCATGTATTCATTACTTGCATCAGACCAAGTTTAAGGCTTAACTTTTCATGGATTTCCCAGGACAGTCTTGTGTCCCTGATAAACAGGTGGCATAGAAAAAGTTCTTCCTGATTATTGATGCATATGAATTCAATATTATTGGATAAAGGATTAAGACCAGAGCATGAGTTTTTCTGGTTTGCATTTAATCTTAAAAGTTTGCAGGTGTTTATTGTTTATTTTCTTGACCTTTTGGTTCATATGAAAGCAGGATCCTGGTCATGGACTTCTAAAAGGTTGATTGGTGAGAAGCTTGCTAAGGTATACTTCATGAATCAGTTAATTTTAATGATTCTCTGTCAACTTGCCTTGCAAGTACCTTTCCCTAACTATTGGTGTTAATCCTTAGGATTTGTTGAAGCAAACTTCCTTTTAGTGGGCTACTGATGAGCTAGGCAAGCAAAACATTCCTCGATTACTTCCCCAGTACCGGGAGCGAGGATGGGACTCTAAATGAGAAGCGAAGCATCGTTGGGAGTCTTTTCGAACGTCGTCCTTGGGGATACAAAAGGAGAATTTGTTGGTAATGACTTCAGAAACTAATTTGGTATTGTGGATTCCAGCATTCCTGGTTTTCCTGTTTCTACCTTTCTCCCCCCTCTTGCTTGGTTATCTTTTTTTATAGGCTCGGCCCTTATTTTGTCTTTAGGTTTTTTACCCTTCCCAAGGAATTGTTGTAAGTTATAGTTAGATCTTGTGTGCATGTTGAGTCATCTTTTGAGCTTTGATTCATTTCAAATTAAAAATTTTGAATGTTAGAATGAAAGAGTTCGCTTTGACCGTAAGAGCAGGTAGCCTATTTGCTGTGTCTTTGTTTCTATTGCATTCTATCTCATCGTATCACATTCTGTTCTGCGATATTTGAGAATCGCCGTCAATACCTCGGTGTAGGTCCGGGATAATCCTTTGTTCCATAGTCCCGGGGCTATTTACAACCAGGCAATTAAGAATTCTCAGCTTAATTATTTTTGTAAAAATAGCTAGCAAAGTTTAGTTTATCCGTTAAAACTTTTGCATGATACATTAAAAATTTTCCGAGTGGTTTGTTCTAGGCATTCTTTTCAAACCATCACGGATATGAAAATAATGAAAAAAGTTGGCTTCAATTGTCAACTGCTCCTATGGAAAATAAGATTGATTGCGGTTCGAGCCGTATATAATATATCCTCATGGATTCAATTGTCGACTGCTCCAATAGTAAATATGATTGACCATGGATATCTATCATCTTTTTTAAGTTTATCATAAAGTAGTTTCTTGACTTTATCTATCATGCAATCTTATATTCAAATTCAATTTCTCTTTCAATTTGTCTACATATAGATGGTAGTCTTATATTTAAATTCAATGTATACTGCTGTTATCGATTGATTTTAAATAAAATATTAAACATAATAATTAATAAATAGATAATGATAATAATGTTATTGGACGATATAACCTATTTTTGGCCTGTATAAAATGGAAATTACCATCCGTCACCGTGGGTAAGGGGATTTCAGACGGTCACGCGATTTTCATAAACTTAACTGCTAAGGTTTCGTTTTCCATCCTCGTACGTTTTTTAAGACAAACCCGGCAACTGCTGAGTATAGCAGTCAAAAGAAGAAAAAAATGGAGAATTACGACACTAAGAAAGAGCAGAGGAAGGAGAACAGCGGAGAAGAGATTGATCTTGATAATCATCAGCAGGGTGTTGGAGCTATTTCTTTGAATGAACTACCCGAAGGATGCATAGCCGAAATTCTTTCAGCCACCACCCCTGCTGATGTTTGCAGATTCTCCCGTCTTTCTTCAACTTTCAGATCAGCTGCTGCTTCTGATAGCGTCTGGGACAGGTTTCCTGCCCTCTGATTATCAACCATTTTATCAGCATCATGTGCTCATCAGGCTGACTCCTCTTCCCTCACTTTCTCCTCCAAGAAACACCTGTTTTTCTATCTTTCTCATAATCCTATCCTTGTTGATGAAGGCAAAAAGGTATCAAAAGTGTTCTGCTCAAATCCTTTTTACTGTAATTTTTTGGGGGGAATAAGTAGCTGTAAAATTCTAAGTCTAAGCATCTCTATCTATGCATAAAGAAATTTAAGAGTTCTGGGATATGATTCCTAAATTGAAATACATAGTTGGTTAAATGGTACTATCTCACATCAATGAAGTATTGAGTTTGTTGTAGCCTTGCATTCAGTTTGGAACTCTACATCTATTGCCATTGATTGTAGGTTGGGTGCTTCATCTAATTTAAAGATGAATTCTTGCAAATCTATAATAGCATAGCGACGTGTAATCTTCAATCTAAGTCAAGGACTATTTTTTTATATAAAGAGGCCATAGCCCGGGGAAAGGTAAGAGGTTAGAGGTGCTGGCATTTGGACTCCAAATTTACTGGCTGCATGACTGTATGAACCTATTAAACTAAAGTTTAGGTTCAGACGAGTGCTATTTTATGAGTCCCATAAGTTGGAATTAGATCCTACATAAATGTAAGGAAATAATAGCACACAAAACACATTTCATAGGAAATCTATCAAAATTATTATGTTTCCATGGCCTTATACACATATATGTTGTGCAAAATGAATTCAATAGCCAGTGCAAATCCAACAGTTCAATGATTTCATGGCTATAATAAAAAGTTTTTAAGGGGAAAAGGGGCTTCCTAGTTGATTTTTCAACTGTAGCCATCATATGTCTGCGAACAGATCAAGAACTCGATTTATTTCACAGTACATATTTTTTACTACAGTGAATTTAGAGTTGAAATTTTGCTCATATTCTATTCTTGTGGCAGCGGTTATTTGTTTTATTTTTTGAGTTAATACTTGCCAGCATCTGAAATTTAATGCGCAAAGCTTTTATTTATTCATTAGCTAGAAAATTAGTTTATGCAATATAAACTTGTGAGCAGTGGCAGGGGTTCTTGTTCTCAAAATTTGCACATCTAAACTTGGTGTTAATATGTATGATAGAGTTTTTCCACTGGACAAAAGGAGTGGCAAGATAAGCTATATGATTGCTCCAAGGGGATCTACTGATTGCATGGGGAGATGTACCGCGCTTATTGGGTTGGATTTCCATCGCTGAAATCAGGTTTGCTGACTCGAAAAGTTCTCCCCTTTCCCCATATTAAATGTTGCAATTGTATGTTCGTCTCCCTCACTTTGTTTATTGAATGTTCTGTTTGTCGCAATGAACCAAGGTTTAAGGAGGTGGCAAAGCTAAATCATGTGTGGTGGCTTGAAATCCGTGGCAAGATTAGTACCTACAAGTTGTCGTTACATACAAACTATGCAGCTTACCTTGTGTTCAAGCTGCGATACGCCTTCGGCTTTGACTACCATCCTGTAGAGGTTTCACTAACACTTGGAGTCGATAAAATTTGTACAAAATCTGTTATTCTAGAGCCCAGGATAGTTAGCTGGCCTTGTCGACGTCAACAACGACGACGACATGAAAGGTTTTGGTGTGTGCCTGAAGTGGTATACCATAGTGAAATGTCCAGTCTGGAATTTTCAAAGGAGAGAGCAGATGGGTGGTTAGAAATTGAGATAGGTGACTTCTTCAATAGATATGGACAAGATGAACTGGAGATTAGTGTTATGGAGGTAAAGGCTGGAATTCCAAAGGGTGGCCTTGTCGTTCATGGTGTTGAGATTAGGCCTAAAGACAATAAGCTAGGGAATGCATAATTGTTATCTTCACGCTTCCAGAACAAACCTCCCATTCTAAATTGCTTTCTTCATGGGGATATTCTAAGTACCCCTTTTATGTTGCAATGTCATGGTAATTTTTTTCTCTATTTGGTGGTTTATGAATTTGATTTTTCTGATGCAGTTTGGTCATTAATGTTCATTGTTTTCTCTGGATGCCATTGTTGATGGGTACTTTTCTTTATCTGCTTCTACCCCTGCCAATGACATTGATGAATGATGATGCCCATACAATGCTCAACTGCATAGACTCATGGTCACATATGCACTTTGCTAGCATCATCCCATCATCCCATAATGTCAAAATGTCTGCTAGGCATTTCATTGTTATTGAGATTTAGAAAAATCTCTCTCCCTACTTGAAGAAACCAGCATGGAGCAGGAGATTTTGTTCATTCTTCAATCATATTGTGGACAAAACTATGGACAGATTTGAAGTATAGAACTGTGGACAAAGCAACTTTCCTCACGCTCCATACTTTCGATGCCGACACACTTAAAGAAGAGTTTTTTCTTTGGATGGCGTGTTTCTTAGCTGGACCATTTCAAAAACAAAGTATCCAAGTCCTGTTGCTATAAAAGATGTGAAAAGCAAATAAAAAGAAAGTGGTTTGTAGATATAATCACTTATTCCTTTGTATAGTTAATTAGCTGCTTGTCAAAAGATGCTAAAAGATTTCCCCCTTTAGGCACCTTTCGATTCATGAAATTTTGATAGAAAATAATTTTTTAAAAATGTTTACATTTTGGTTAAAGGTTTAAAAATGTTCTTAAATTATATTTTAATAATAATTTAACCTCTTAATATTTTATTATAATCAATCAATCTTTTAATCTCTTATTTTGATTCAATTAAACCTTTAATTGACAAAATCTAACCACATGAAAAAATTAAATCAATCAATCAATATTTGAATTGTAATCAATTAAACCCTTAAAGATATCTTAAAAAGAGCTAAGAGAAAATCAAGAAGACAAAAAAAATAAAAAAATTATTTTATTTAATTTCAAAAATATTAATTATGCCACATGTAAACTTTCATTTATTTTAGTGATTTCACATGGAATTTTATCTTAATTAAAAAAAATTAACTATGTTAACCTTTTATTCTTGTAAGGGTTTATTTGGATGCAAATAAATATTGAAAAAGTTGATTGATTACAATAAAAATGTAAGGCTTACATAAAATTTTCAATTATAATTAGGGATTTTTTATGCCCTTTGGCCTTATATTTTTTGGAAAACTGTTGCTTGAATAAGTTAATAAAAGTATTTTTTATTTTTTAATTTCTTTTGAAAAATTTATTTTTTAAAAAATAATATTGATATAATTAATAAAATATAAAAAATTATTTATGATTAAAATATATTAAAAATTTTTATATTAAAAAATAATTATATTTTAATAATAATTTTTAATATTAAAATATTATATGAATATAAAAAACACATAAAACAAAATATTTATTATTTATATTAATATTTAAAATATCTAAAATGGTATTATTATTCTTAAAATATTATTTCTATTAATACAGTAATATTAAAAATAGTAATATTTATTAATAAATATTAAAATATTTATACTATTAAAGTAGTTATATCTTACATTGAAAGTATCTATTATTAAATCATAACAAAATATTATTTATTTATTTTTATTATTAGATAATAATATAAATTCATTAACAAAAATATAAAAGTAATATATTTTAAATTAAAAGTATTAAGAAATTATTTAAAATATTCATTTTATGAAAATAATAATTATATTATTTAATATTAATTATTAAAATAATAAAATATTATTTAATATATTATTATTTATTATTAAAATAATAATATAATACTATTTATTATTGAAATACTAAAAATATTTATGTTTAATAATATACAAAATAGAAATATTTAAAATTAAAATATCAACAAAATTTTAATGTTAATATTTTAATTAAAATAAAATAAAATATTTTATTAATATAATAATATTTCATGTTGAATCAAATCAAATTTAAACTTAAAATATCATGTTCAAGGTACTTAGTAGAACTATAAAATATTTTTACAATTAAAATATTAGAAGACTTTGAATATTAATATTTCAAAATTTTTTTAGTAAAATTAAATAAAAATATTTTTTATTAATATAATAATATTTTGAATTAGATTAAATTAAGTTTGAGTTTTAAAAAATTCATATTTAAGGTCCAACTTGAATAGAATTCTGCTCATAAACTTAGTAAGTAGTTTTATTTATAAATAACTTTTTTTCAAAACTTATCTTCCTTTTTTCAAAAAAGGAAGATAATTTCTAGAAAATAATCTTATTTTTCATTGACTAATAAATTATTTTTTGTTGAACAATCAATTTTTTATCAAATAAATAATAAAAATACTAAAATTATTTTTAAAAATTATTTTTTATAAAAATACGGAGCTTTATATTCATTTTATAATTAAATTTTAGAAATTATTTAATACAAACTTTACAAACGAGATTAAGATAATAACATATATTTTTTTAAATTAGTTTTATTTTTATTTTTTTAAATATATAATAAAAATATATGTCATCATCTTAACTCTACTTATAAAATAAAAAAATTTTCATTATCAATATATTTGATAATTTCTCTTCAACATTTTCATTTTCAATGATAGGAAAAAGTTTGTGCCTATGGAGAGTTAATGAACCTGAAAGTAAGAGTTAAGTATTTGTCATTTGTACTTAAAAAGGACTTCAAATCTTAACATATAGTAAATTTTGAAAATGGTAGGGTTTATGAAAATGGGAAAAGATTTACAAAACCAAAACATGCCATTTTTTAACATGATAATTTGTATATTTATGTTTGTCTATTTTATATTTAAGACATGTAAAATATGAAAATTATTGTGTTATAATTCATGTAAATTTGTCAAATCTAAAATTATATATATTATATTATAACATATAAGGTTATATGATAAAAATTATTTATGTGAATGCGTACATGGATAGTCTCTTTTAATAACACAGAATAATACCTTATATTATTTTATTTATCAAATAAATTTTTTTAATAAATTATTTAAATTTAATATTTTAGATAATTATTTAAATTTAAATCAAAATCTATCTGAGATTGAAAATTTTATATAAATTCTGAATTCAAATATATTAAATCATAATTTATCTTTTCTTTTTAAATTTAATCATGATTCCAAATATATATACTTAATAAATATTTATTTTCTGCCAAATAATTCTATTTAATAAATTATTTAAATTTAATATTTTTGGATAATTATTTAAATTCAAATCAAAATATATCAAAGATTGAAAATTTAACATAAATTTTAAATTCAAATATATTAAATCTTAATTTATCATATTTTCAATTTAATTATGGTTCCAAATATATATGTGTGTATGTGTATGCACGTGCGTGTGTCACAGGTCGAGACTTAAGCTCCGAACTCGCGCGGCTCTGGGACCCGGGCATGCACTCATCCGGCGTCCCAGATCAGCCTTCCTGTCACGGTTCACACCCTTATAAGGTATTGTCCGCTCTGACTCCCATGACCTCACGGTTTTGTCCTTCAAAAAGCACCTCATAAGGCGGAGGCGGTGTGAACCCTTTTATACCTCAGAGACCTTCCTATTATGTTCGATGTGAGATTCATGACTCTTTCTTAGGTCCGTGACACGTGCACGCTTAATAAATTATTATCCATTGAATTTAGAATTAGAGAACAAAAATAAAGAATATAGAGGAGAAGATCCATTTAAGTCAAGATTATTTTATTTGTTATTATTAGAATAAAAAATTGAAGAAGATAAAATTTTTTTGTTTGACACTTATGATTTATTGGTTTTGATAGAAATTGACAAAAGTTAAAAAGAAGTGAAAGCCATGTTATATTCATTAACAAGTAAATCTATTTTTTTACCTTTATTACTTCTCAAAATATGGTTTATATTGAAATTAATAATTAAGTAAAAGAAAATAAACTGTAATTTGAATTGGCAATGTATTAAGACTTATTTAGAACTTATATGGTGATTGACTCTAAATTAATGAATTATTGACTATAAAGTAATTATTATTAAAATAATAAAAGCTTACATCTTTATATGAAAAGATGAAACATTTAAATGTTACTAAAGAAGTTAGATAAAATTATATTTTTGTTTTTGGGAAAAAATATAATGCTTTATTTATGTTCTAATTCAAATATTTTTATATTATATATTTGGTTAATTTATTTGTTTCTCTTTAATCTATTACTTTTTGTTAAATTTTGTTTAGATTGATTACAACTAACTTTTCGTATTATATATATATATATTTGTTTTATTCATTTCTTTCATGTCTTTATTCTATGTTAATTCATTAATATATTTGTCCTTATTATTATATATTTTTAATTTCGACAAATTAATATATAAACTTATATTCTCTATTTTTTTTTCAACACTTTTTTATTATTAATTTTCATTATCTTTATGAATGATATGAGAAGAATGATGATCATTATCATATTTGATTTACCAAAAATACTTTATCAATTATGTTAAAATGATTAAAAATAAATTAAAAAAATATGATATGTTTTTAAGTATAACATAACAATTATTGTTTCCTTTTTATTTAAAAAAAAAACCTTATTTTGTTGACATAGAAATAATTTTTAGGCCAATATATTAGTGTAATAATTACTTGAAATATGTAAAAAATTAAGAACTAATAAAAAGTAAATGATTATTGTTATAATGTCTAGATTCGGGGATTTATTGCTAGACATTGACTTAAAGGAGTCGTCACCAATATTTTTTTATCTAGGTGAGATTGGCCACCTAAGGAATTGTCCCTTTCAGGGAACACCTAAGTTTAAGGGTCTCTAAAAAGAATATGTTCAGGTCTACTAACCAGAACATGGTTCGAAAATTCGGTTACGTGTGAAGAAGGTTATAATACCTTCACAACGCCCATCAAAAGATGGTACCAGCTTAATTTTGTGTTATCCAATAAGTCTTAAAAATTTACCAAGTAATTAATCATTGAAAATTATTCTCAATTGACTTTAATACTTTTAGTAAAAAATTAAAAAAATTCTCTCACCTCAAGAGTATGC